TTTTCTTCCTTCACGTTCGTAAAGGGTTCGTAGATTTGGAGTGAATAACGACGACACTTGATGAAGTATCGAAACACACTTTATTTGGCCAATGTTAATCAGGACAGTTCTAATAACACTTTTTACAGTCGTCGAAGATCTACTATAAACACGCTGGAACAATCTGCGGGGAAGCCATCTTACCGCGCCTTTACATTTCGTAACAACATCATGGAAGAAATGGTTGCTTTAGTATCGTTAAAGGACACAACCAAGTCTGCAGATTTATTTGATGCATTAAAAACGACGATGAAAAGGTTTTCCTTATCTATGAAAACTTTATCATCTATCATAACCGATGGAGCCCCTGCCATGGTTGATAAAAATGGGGGACTCGTTAAAATGGTTAATAATGAAGCCGTCGCTGCCGGCAAAATGATCTTAATGGCATATCATTGTATTGTAGATCACAGCAATTTATGCCGAAAAAATTTTAAAATGTAATGTGTATAAAACGTTGTTATAAAAAAACATTAACTTTATAAGAGCAAAAGGACTTAATCATAGATAATTTCAAGATTTTCTTAAGGTATTTGACACTGAATTTGCAGATGTTATTTATTATACAGAAGTGAGATAGCTCGGTAAGGAAAATATGCTCAAAAGATTTTACGATTTAAGAACTGAAATAAAAATATTTATGGAAACAAAAAAGAAACCTGTGACTGAATTTGAAGACGAAGATTGGGTTTTAGATTTAGCTTTTTTAGTAGACTTAACAGAACATTTGAATGATTTAAATTTGAGACTTTAAGGAAAACATAAAATTATTAATAATATAATATGTTCCAAGCAATAATAATAATAATATGTTCCAAGCAATAATAATAATAATATGTTCCAAGCAATAACAGCGTTTGAAAGAAAGTTAAAATTCTGGCACAATCAAATAAAAGTAAAAGATTTGACCCATTTCAGTACTTTGGTTGCACATAAACCTGTGAGTTGCACAAAATATGTAAAATATGCTGCATTAATTTTTGATTTAATTCAAGAGTTTGAAAGTAGATTTTAAGATTTTCAAAAAATTGAAGAGTATTTCAACATGTTTTCTATCCCATTTTCTCTGGAAATAAGTAAATTACTTTCAAATCTTCAAATGGAATGCATTGAACTTCAAATGGAATACATTCAACTGAAAGAAAAATTTGAAAATGTTTCTTTATTTGAGTTTTATAAAGATTACCTACATCGCGATAAATATCCTAATTTTCATAATCAAGCTTTATCGATGTCTTCATCTTTTGGCAGTACCTATATTTGTGAACAATTATTTTCAAGAATGAAGGATACAGACAAAGAAAATAATAATAATAAGATAACTGAAAAACATCTTGAAAATGCATTAAGAATTGGAACCTCGTCTATTGAACCCGATATCGATTTGCATGTTCAACAAAAGCAAATTCATCCATCTCATTAGTTTGAATTTTTTCCATCTTTATGAAATCCAAACTAAATGAAACGAAACTTTTACAAATTAATAATAAATATTTACCTATACATATCTAATTCAAAGTAAAAAAATTAATAACAAAAAGAAAATAATTTGTTTTACTAAAACAACATAGAGCTAACTTTTCTTTCAAATTGTTAAAAAATATTGTACGTGTGGTCTCGCAAATTTTTTTTCTTTGCAATGAGGCCCCGTAAATTTTCTTCTTTGCAATGCGGCCCTCAAGCGGTCATAGTTTAAACACCCATGCTGTATAGAGTGGCAATGTCTATAGATTTTACGAGTCAAATCGTCCCAAACTCAGGGGGGGGGGAGCAGTTAAGATGGCTTCATCTCTATTAATTCTGATAATTTTCCAGTTTAGGTATTTCGAAGAAATTCTTTTTTTACTTGTTCTAGAAGGATAATTAAAAAAATATTAAAAAGGGGGGATGTAATAAATGAGAATCTCCCTTTAACGGAAGAAAATAAATCAAATCTTCATCGTATATCGATAGGAAAATAAATTTGTTTTAAAATTCTTTCATCTCATAAAACTTGTCCATGTTAAATTAATTAATTTAAGATCTTTCATTGTTTACAGTTCGTGTGTAAAATTATTCACAATTAATTATGTTTAATAATTAATATATGCTTTAAAGTATCGATTTCAGACCCTTTTTTTAGATTGTCCAAGTTTTATTTATCACGCCAATAAGTATTTCATCAGGGCCATTTGTTCCAAGTAGACAAAAGAAAACATTTTTATATTAATTTGGTTTCTCTTCGAAAGATTCAAGCATTTCAAACCCAGCAAAAACCGACCTAAATATTTCGCTTCCAAAAGAGAAACTAACTTAAATAATGATTTATGTTTTGTATTTCTTTAAATAGTTCTGAACTGAATCTGTTCCGAGTAAATTTTTGTATCATTTTTTCAAATGTTTTTTAATTTTTTTCGCATTCTATATCAGTATATAATTATATTATATAATTCGCATTCACCATCTTAAAAAAATGTAAGTAAATAAATCAATGAAAAATTGCCGATTCAAATTATTTTCATATATCATGTTTATGTGTTCCATGAAAGATCTTTGAAAAGATCTTGTAAGTGAAAGACATTTTGTAAAGGTCTTGTAAAATCCATGTTTCTGTGTTCAGTGAAAAATACCATGCACACCTCCCCTCGTTCCCAAACATAGGTGGTATCGACATACTATTTGTGACCTCTAAAGTGCTCAAAATTTTTTAAAGAAGAGCGCGTTTAAAATTAAATGCAAAATTTAGTATGTATTTGAAATCGAAATCAATTTTCAAATCTTAAATTCGACACTGTGGTGATTTAATAACTAAATATTGGTCACTGTAAAAATATTTCTCTTTCAGACTGGAAACTGAACGACTATTTGCGTTTCAAGGCTAAATGTCTAAAGCTTGAAGTCCTGGAATCCTATGGAAGGTTGTATCCAAAAATAAATTAAACAAATATTAATAAGTAATTAAAACTAAATAAAAGGTTAATGAGATAAATAAAATATTAATAAATTTAACTGAAATTAAAGTAAATGATAAATTAAAACAAAGCTATCATAAAAATTTATTCAAAAGATGAAACAATGGCTGATATATTTCCGGACTTTTGAATGGATAAGTAAATATTTCACTTTTTGAAGGGATCACATTTCGAGATGGTATGTTTGTAAGGATCTTAAGTTTTACAAATGTTTATTTTATTTTAAAACTGTACTGTCCTCTGTTATTTTCCACTTCCGGCCAGAATAAACGCATGAATATGTTCATGCAAATTGTACTTGCTAAATCTCAAGTATTTAAGTTGTGGCTTTTTGTCAAAAGTAGAGGGGGGAGAGAGTGAGCTTTCTTACCATTGCCACTATACTTCACGCGAGCTTGCAATCAGTTGCTGTCCGCCAGAGCTTTTAGTCCTCTTGAAAGCTAAAGACGTATTGTAGTTTTCCGCAGTTTTCATACTACATACGTAATAATCTAAAAGACCAGTCTTAGTGTTAGTCATTTATGTAAAGTATTTAAAGTTAACTCTTATTTTAAATTTAGTTAGTTACTAGTTTTTATATTTTTACGTTCAGACCACAAGTGGTTGGTCTTTGTATCCCGAAGTGCGGGAGCGCCTGTAATATCGTGGAAAATAAAGGGTAATTAAACCCTTCTAATCTTTTCGTCTCTTCTACATAGGACATAGTTTGTAGTGAAACTCACTGCCTAATCAGAACACATCATGTTCGCCAAGCAGATAAAGAGAAATACAAGTCCTGATATGTTTTCCCTTAACTGCTCAAAATCCTCGCATATTTTGCTGCGCTTAAGAAATACATTCAGTTGCTTAGTATGGATTTCAGTCACTTTTCATACGTAAGTCTTACTAATTTCATACCATTCACACTAATTGCCATAATGAATAGTAAAATTTGTAGCAGATACTGCTTTGGTCTCCGGCTGATATTGCAATCCCTTTCAAAAACTGTAAGGTATCGGACTCCGATTGAATTTAAATATTGCTATATTCTATGTCACAAGTTTTCAGACATTACTTTTCAATCTACTTATATTTATTACTTATTTATTACTTTCTAATCTACTTATTTTATTTATTTTTTTATTCAATAATATTAGACAAGGCTTTTGATTGTATGTACAGACGTCAGAGGGCAGCACATGTCTTTAAGAAAATGTTACGTAACTCGTATTGCATTCAGTTATACCTACTATTTAAAATACATCATATCAATCAAATAAAAAAACATTTCCCGACGATGAAACTCTGACACAAGATGAGAATAATCGTAGCAAATAGGCCACGATTGCTTTTCCATAACTAAACACCAACAAACCAATCAACCTGACAGAAGATGAGAAGAGGAAATAAAAAGGTTGGTTACTGCTGACATTAAAGGCTTAGATGAATATGTATATAATAAGTTTTTTATAACCAAAATTCCGCCACAGGAAGCTACTACACACAGCATAACTCTGAAAAGCCAAAGTAAAATTGTAATTTATAAATATATTTTTCTATTAAACTGCACTGGTCACTCATTTAATGATAACACAGGCAATGATTTTCCCAAACAGTTTTTTTAAGAAAATTTAAAAAAAAATTAATTTTGAAATTTTGAAGAGTGTTCGAAGAATTTTTTCCCCTGTGGAACGGTGTTTGCGACACCAGGGTGCCTGAGCCGAGGCTCTACCCCTTGTAGAACATTAAGAGATTGCGAAAAGTAGCATCAGATAATCAGTTAAAAGTAAATAACTTTTTTTTTTTAATTATAAAGATTAAAGTACTCAATAACGAGTAAAAACGTTAGTAAATGTTGGTAGATAAAACTGGGAAAGTAAATAAAGCTGTAAAGGTGGTGACGCCAGAGGCCGTCGAGCTGGTGCGGAATACACTGTAAGGATGACTGCAAATAAGAGCAGTCTGAATCCCAGAAAATTTAATAACTTCAGACTTTAAAAGATAAGAATTTCTTCACAGAAGATAACAAGAGACAATATAGAAAGTACTTTTATTTGAGATATAACAAACTTGTTATGCTCATTTTCCACGATAGGATTTTAAAACTGTCTTAAAAATTGATTCATATGCATATATATTATACAAGTAATAACAAACACAAATCTTCCAACTCAAAATTTTTCAGTGATTAAATTTCCCACCAAGAGCTTGCATATTTTCCTAACGTCCAGGTTTAATATTATATTCAGCTTCCTAATTACAACTTGAATTTTTCGCTCTTTTTAAGCAATGACAGCGTCAAATTCAGAAGATTTATTGCTTATAGGAGGACCTAAAGCTTTTCGCATTCGCTCCCAAAACAATTTTTGACCAAGCGTATTCTCTGTCCATTCTAAACACAGTCTAGTTTTCTCCAAGTATAGCAAGTTTTTAGTGTACAATTTCTTGTTTATATTTTCCAACTTTACTAAAATAAGGCCATCTCTGGTGTCGTCGAAAAGTTTGTGCTGAGCCATATGCAGTTCAAACATGCACCATTCACTCTTAGTGAAGCTCTCTGAAAGAATCAAAATAACTTTTCTGCTAGTCTCAATTGCTTCCAATATATTTTCTGTGATAAGAGAACCCACCTGAAAATCCCTTTCGTGCACACAAAGTTTAAATTTTGGCTCTTGAACTTCGAGCGCAGGTATTAAGTAGGTTACAACCCATGGTGTATTTGCAGAATTGTAAGAGAGAAAAGCATCGTAATTATATCGAGGCTCGTAAGCATGGCTGTACTTCTTCTCTTTCATCTTAGCTTGGATGTGGAAAACGCAGTATCGAATGTACCACCTAAAAAAGAAGCACGCGAGTAAAACTAACATAGTAAACAATGTTACGAAACAAATTATAGCTATTCCAAGCAAACCTATCAGAGCAGCTTCTTCTACTTCGCAGTTAACTACCGGTAATTCGACGTTTCCTAAAGGTTGGTTTTGCAAAAAGACAGGTTCCACACAAGTATACAATGAATCATCTATTTCTTCGTCTGGTAGACTAAATGTCAGATTTGAATCTCTAAAGAAAGCCTGAAAATCCTTCATTCCACATGCGCTACAATTGAAAGGATTTCTTCTTAAATCTAAGTATTCTGAAACTTGACCGAATTCAGTTAACATTGTTGGGGTAATATATATTATTTGATTTTCTGACAACCCCAAAGTCATTATGGTCAAATTAGGGTGGAATATTTTGCTGTTCCAAGGAACGATTTTGTTTTTCGACGAATACAAGCTTTTTAAATCAGTAAGCGATGAAAATATTTTATCTGGAAATTTTTCTATCTTATTTTCTTCAATATAAAGAACATTGAGTAATGGCACGGGGTGGAAAGGAAGATATTTTTCAATAAAAACCAAATTATTTCGGCTTAGGTAAAGATGTTTCAGATTCTGTAGCCCAAAAAATGTGTAATTTTTTAAATAACGTAAATTATTTCCCTGAAGATCAAGAACTAACAAAGACGTAAGTGTCTCAAATGCATATTCGTATATAGCCTCCAACATCGTGGCTCCTAGAATGAGCAGCTTCAAATTATACAAACCAAAAAATGCATATCTTGAAAGCATAGGATATAGTGACACATGGGCTAAATTTAATTGCTCTAACTGCTTCATGTTTTCAAAAATAAAATCTTTTATATAAAAATTCACATCTGGCAACGAGATCTGATGATGGAGATCTAATATTTCCAAGTTTATAGACCTCGCTATTTCAGAAGGAAATTCTATTAATTCGTGGTTATTAAGCACCAGCTCTTTCAGATTCGGAAGATCTTTGAACGCTCCACTTTTAATGTCTTGTATAGAACAACGCGGTAAAAACAGAGACTCCAAGGAGGGAATATAGGGAAATATTTCCACAGCCGGAAAATAATTATAGCCTAGATCAAGACGGAATATAGTTGTATTTTGTAGAAATTTTAATGCATCGTAAGGAAAGCTGTTTAAAAGAACTAAATTTCTCAAAAAACAAAAATTTTATTGATGTATTGTTTAAACTACTGGTAACATTAGCCATTGCAAATTCATTAACATAGTTCACAGATAAATCTAAAATCTTCAGATAAGGTAAGCAATCGAACGCACTTTTCTCGATTATTTCTATAGTAGTATTAAACAGACTAAGATACATGAGTTTTGTGTTCTTTAAAGGTTCAAGATCGTTTTTTAATATACGTCTAATGTCCGTGTTTTCATCCAAAGTTAAATTCTCAAAATGTCTTAAGGTTTTCAAGCCTGATGCGATAGTGCCAATTCTAATTACTGAATTATGCGTTAAATTCAGGGATTTCAGCATAGGAACATAAGTGAAAGCATGTTTTACAACCATTATATTATTTCTACTTAAGTCTAAGTCTTCTAAACTTTCAAGACCCATGAAAGCTCTTTGTAATGTATCTGTGATGATTATTGATTAGCTTAAGCGACCTTAATTTTTTTAAATGGGGAAACAATGGCTTCAATAAAATAATCTGTAGACAATTAGATATATCTAGTATCACTGTATCAGTTGGTAAAAAAACTGATATTTCATACATGGAGATGTTACTGCAGGAAATACTGACATCTTCATACAGTTGAATGGAGCAACTAAAATTTCCTTTTAAAGTATCATACCAAATATCAGGTAAAGCTGTCTCAGTCGTTATTGTATTCAAATCTTTATACAAGGATTTATTTCGTTCTTGATGTTTCGTCATTCCAAACAAATTTGTTTCAACATAATTATTTCTAAACTTACTTTCTACTTTCATTCTAGGGGTTGAATTATATTCTGAAGACTCATATGTTAATCCTTTGGTGTTATCATCGCTGTGACTGAAATTATAACTTTTGAAATTTCTGTTGCTTCTAAAATTGGAAGAAATCTCTGAAGTATTGGAACCTTTTGTGAAAATATGACTTTCTTCATTAGCTTTGGGTACGTTTTGCTTCTCCTTGAATTGAATAGATGTTATGCTTGAATTAACTGTGGGAGTGGAGATTTCTACATTGCTTATTTTAGTCATATCTAAGCTCACTTGATCTATACCATTTGCATCTTGCTGGCTGAAATATTTAGGCTCATTTGTTTGCTTTTGTTTATGATTTATGATATCCAGCTGAGTGGACAAAATGTTATCCGAGAGACACATAAAAGTGACGTCCGTCATTAAAAATATCGTGACAAAATCCAAGAATTTCATCCTGAAAAAAAAAAATAAAAAACTTTAATTAAAGTTTCTTATTTGTTGTTATTAAATAACACAGTACACAGCTTCGCCAACACGAATGCTCTGCTCTATATCATCTATAGCCATGCTCTTTACTTTGATAAACACTTCTTTCAACAATATTAATATAATTAAATATATTAATTGAATTACATTGTTTATATTAATATTGCTGAAAAGAGAAGTTAATATTAATATAATTAATGTTACCTTCTATTTGTTATCAATAAGAAGCAGTATTACGATGCGGAAACTATAGTTTTATTTTGACCACATACTATACAGGAAACTTTTACATTTGGAATAAATACAGAGTACAATTTCCCTATTGCTTATCATTTATTTCTTAGGAATATTTTTGTTTCTGAATATACTGAAAAACGTGTATAGACTTATAAAATATTCTAACCTCATTTTGAAAATTGATGATTTGATGATTTAACTTCTTTCACTTATTTTTCTTACATTTGCAGCTGAGATTCTTAAAATTTCAAGGCATATTTAACAAAACCAAGTGCAAATGCATAAATCCCTCGCCAAGGGGTGGTGTTATTTCGACAGTTTTCAGATTGCTTTTCAAGCTTATAAATAACTCTAGTTTTTTCAGTTCAGTTCCTAACTTTCAGAACTACTTTCTTTCTTATTAAAAAAATCAACAGTTTAATGCCTGATATCCTAAAATTTTAAGAATAAATAAAATAAATAAAATATAAGTAGAATAATGTGCATGTTTTGAACATAATCAAGATTGTAAGAGGCAAATGATTAGACTCTCTTCACATATCTAAAGTGAATGTGTTATAATGACACCAGATACATACCTGATTCACAAGGCTCACACTGAATAGGAATATATATTCCAATCAATACTTTTGATTAATGTTAGCCGATATTTTTGATTCCTTTTGCAATATTTTCTTTTTTCAGAGTTTTCCAAGTCAGTGGAAAATTTTGCTGTAGATATAATGCATGTCACATTGCAGGCACAATAAATAAATGATTCAAACTTTTGGATTTTTAGAAGACACATTTGCAACTTTCATTAATGTAGGTGAAATAATAACTTGTAACTTAAAAATACATTACAGTAAGTTCCCAACTAGTTGCTGTTAGTTTGAAGAGAAGTCTCTTGGTAGTGGAGTTTATCAAGAATAAACTCCAGTACTGCTATTTGACAAATATTGATTGTGTTAATTATCTTGAAAATGACATTCAACTTAAAAGTTTATTGCAATAAATTCCTAATTATACTTGCTATTAGTCTGAAGAGATGTTTCTCGGTAAAAGTTAATTATCAAGAATGCTGTACGAGAAAAATTGATTCTGTTAATTATCTTGAAAATGACAGTCAACTTAAAAGTTGACGAGCCAGTTTCCCTTAGAAAGTCCTCCACGAAGGCATCCCTCCCCTTAGGCAGATAGCCCTTGAGGCTTTGCCGTAATTAAATAACCTAACCTAACCTAACCCAATTAATACTTGCTATTAGTTTGAAGATAAGTCTCTCGGTAATGGAGTTAATTATCAAGAATGCTCTACGCGAAAGATTGATTCTGTTAATTATCTTGAAAATAATATTCTGCTAAACCCGAGGAAAAAATTAATTTTAATATAAGTTCATTACTTAATTTTAATATAAGTTAAAAAGCATTATGCAGATGAGGGTTTTAATTGTTTGAAGAAAACACTTACAGAGAAGTAAGAAGAGGTTATAAATGTCAGAGAAGTGATTTATCAGTAACAAAATTCAGTAAATAGAAAAAAGTAAGAACGATACAAAATGTTTCATGCAACACTTTTTAAATGTTTTCCCTCTATATGCCGAATTTGTAGAATTTGTAAAATTTGCAGAATTTGTAAAAATATCCTATAAAGTACGCATTCACTTTTTAAACTCATTTTCTGTTTACTTATCTAAATTAGCGGCCTAATACAATGAAACTTCGGATCAAGAACACTTGTTATCGCGAATAAATCGGTTTATGGACAAATTACCTGAACAAAAAAAAAAAAAAAAAAAAAAACATCTCGGATGAAGAATGATGTCTCGAAGCATACTCAGTCGGCAACAAACGATTTTCGAATGAGTTTTGAAGTAAACTCTGATTCCGGATTAACATTCAAGGACTTCTATAAAACACATTTTACTGCTTTTCCTTTGCTTAACTCTCATAAACAAAACTTGGCAGTAAATAATTTGGGCCATGAAATTGCCCTGGAGAAAACTTTATCTAAATTGAAATGCTAGAAGGAAATGCAAACGTAAATTTCAACATACAGAAGATTTTCCACTTCTTCTTTTGAGATCTCAAGGTTGATTATTCCCATCAAAAAGAGTAAGCTGTCGTTAGCTTTGAATGATGAAGATGTTCTTTACTGCAGTATATACGTCTGTGGCATAACATAACATTAAAGAATGTTTGGGTTGATGTCTTCAAGCAGTATTTCAAATTGATTGCTGCATCGAGGACCCGAAGCTCATCACCCAGTGCTTTTATTTTATTTCACCATAGTCTTAATAACGTTGGCAATACCGGCCACCCTTGGAAGTCAAGGCAGCTTAGAGGAACAGAAAGTAGTCGGTCAGAAGGAATTTGTATATTTGAGCTGCCAGAAAAATTTTTTAAATGAAAGTAAAACTTGGTATGATTATGCAAACAATGTAATCAAGCGTCTCTAAGAATAGTTAAAGTATATGGCTGAACTGTCCTCAAAGGACACCACTCCGGACGGTTTTAAATCCTACCACTCCGGACGTTTTTAAATCCTATTATGCAGGTACAGTAACTTACATTTAGTTTTTCCCCGTGACGGCTTGAAAATTAAAAAAAAATAATCTGTGGAAATTTTATATTTAATACTAAACTGCACTTGATTTGATAGAATTAAGAACCATAATTTTTACGTTAGGTTTATACAATAGTTAACCAAATTAAATGCTTAAAATTTTGCGTGTATTCAAAGCGAATGAGTTTCTTAAGAAGATCAATAAGAGCAATATTAATTATAAGAAATAAAATATTATCAATTGGAGTGCTGCTCTAAATAGATTCTAAACAGATTTTAACAAAGGAATTTACTTTATAATTTTCTTCTTACAACTATAGTGTTATTTAATTAAAGAAAAACTACGCAATCATGGATAATTTTCCCGAAGATCAAGTATTAGGACCTTCTTATTTATAAAAGTTCTGCTTCCAGTATGTCTATGGAATTGTACATTAAAATGAAGAAATATTTATGAATCTTTAATTTTCTTTATAATTAATTTTCATTTGCATTCTAATCACGCATGAAATTTCCGCATAATTTTTCCTTTTTCATTTTCCGCGCTTTATTTATATCATTAAATGTTTAATGCATGTTAAAATTTTGCAAATTTACGTCATTTTAGTTCTCTTCCTAAAAATACTAAATGGCAAGTATATCGATATTGCTGTTGGAGCATTACATCTGAAGCAAGGATACTGTATAACGTATTTCTCCCGCTTTCCAAGCGTCCTTCGTGGTGTAGTGGTTCTGCACGCTGGCCCGGTATTCCAGAGGTCCGTGGTTCGATTCCCGGCGAAGGCGTTGTTAATTTTTCATCTCTCCGGCCTCCAAAAAATATCCTAATGTCTCTACAGTGGCGCCCGAACTAAAAGGGTTGTGGATGATGATTCTCCACACCCAGGATTTGGCAACTAGGTTCCCTAAAACCCTAGTCACCCTTTAAAAAGGGGAGTATATAACGTATTTCTCCCGCTTTCCAAGCGTCCTTCGTGGTGTAGTGGTTCTGCACGCTGGCACGGTATTCCAGAGGTCCGTGGTTCGATTCCCGGCGAAGGCGTTGTTAATTTTTCATCTCTCCGGCCTCCAAAAAATATCCTAATGTCTCTACAACTGAAAGTGAGTTTCAAAACATTTGGTCTGAAGGCAATGGAACAACGTCAATTCGATTGTAAAATTCTAAACATTCTGACAAAAGAATTACATCTGCGATTTTTGCGATCATATTTTTGAATTGCTGAACTGAAATTTCAATGCATGCAAGATTTAAAAAATCTAAGGTACAAAAGTATTCTTTCGGTGAGAAATTCTGCCTACTTTCATTAATATTTACCCATAGTCTCTCTCAAACTCGGAGCCTCCCACATGTGGGCGTGTTGTGAGGTCCCTAAGTAAGCCCTGCCCGGAACTTTAGCGCTTTTGCCAACCGAATCACTTGCGCTTTTGTTAAAACTGAACCCAAGCTTGTCAATTTCCGCACTGTGAACCAGTAATATAAATTTTACATTGAATTTCACTTTATTTGCTATGTTATTTGAAATCCTAAAAGCTGTGAAGCACATGCATCGAAAAAGATCGAAAGGTTGAAAAGATTTAAATTGTAAGCTTAATTGTTAAGATTTAAGTTAAAATAAACTATTGCTTAACCTTCTTATGATTCTGGAAATACCTTTACAGACGGGTTAATAAATCGTCTGACAGTGTTAGTACAGTTCAAGAAGATAATTTAATAAAAGATTGAAACTAAAAATACAGCAAGTTACTTTTATTTCAGATACCATGTGCATTTTTCATGACAGCATTTTGACAGCATTTGACAGACTTTCTTAAAACAAAGATTATGATAAGTACAAATATTACACAGGCAATAACAAACATTGATGAGTGAAATCAAAACTTTTCAGTGCTTTATATCATACAAATTATTTGAATACTTTACTCTCATTTCTGGACATTGTGTTCTTTTTTCGTAACATTCTCTTACAATTTTTCTCTTGTTTTAAGCGTTAATATTTTCAGACGTCAAAATCTTATTGCTTATTGGAGGACCTAAAGCCTTTTGCAATCGCTCCCAAAATACTTTCTGGCTAAGGGTATCTTCCTTCCATTTTAAACACAGTCTCGTTTTCTCTAAGTACAACAAGTTCTTAGAGTACAATTTTTTGCTTACATCTTCTAACTTAACTAGAATAAGACCGTCTCTAGTATCGTAGAAAAGTTTATGCTGAGCCATATGCAGTTCGAACATGCACCACTCACTCTTGATGAAACTATCGGAAAGAATCAAAATAACTTTTCTGCTAGCGTCAATTGCTTCCAGTATGTTTTCTGTGATAAGAGAACCCACTTGAAAATCCCTCTCGTGAACACAAAGTTTAAATTTTGGTTCCTGATCTTCGAGCGCAGGAATTAAGTAGGTTATAACCCATGGTGTATTTGCAGAATTATAAGATAGAAACGCATCGTATTTATATCGGGACTCGTACGAAGTGCTGCGTTCCCACTCATTCATTTTGGCTCGAAAGTGAAAAAACCAGTATCGAATGTACCACCGGAAAAAGAAGCATAGGAGTGAAACTACCGTAGCGAACAGTACTACGAAACAAATTAAAGCTATTGCAAATAAACCTATTAGAGCAGCCTCCTCTGTTTCACAGTTAACTACAGGTAAATCGACACTTTCAAAAGGTTGGTTTTGCAGAAAGACAGGTTCCACGCAAATGTAAGATAAATTATCTATTTGTTCGGATGGTAGAGTAAATGTTAGATCTTTAAAGAAAGCCTGAAAATCTTTCATACCGCAGGCACTACAGTTGAAAGGATTTTTTCTTAAATCTAAGTATTCCGAAACTTGACCAAATTCTGCTACCATAGTTGGGGTAATATGCGTTATCTGATTTCTTGATAACCCCAAAATCCTTATGGTAAGATTAGGGTGGAATAATTTGCTGTTCCAAGGTACAATTTTGTTTCCCGTTAAAGTCAAAATATATAAATTGCTAAGCGATGAAAATATTTTATTTGGGAAATGTTCTATTTTATTATCTTGAAGGAGAAGCGTACTGAGTAATGGTAATTGATGAAGGAAGATATCCTTCAATAAAAATCAAATTATTTCCACTTAGGTAAAGATGTCTCAAGTTTTGTAAACCAAAAAATATATAGTTGTTTAAAAAGCGTAAATTGTTTCCCTGCAGGTCAAGAAGTAACAAAGATGAAAGAGTCTCAAATGCAAATTCTTCGATATCACCCAACATTGTTTTTTCTAGAAACAAAATGCTTCAAGTTAAGCAAACCAAAAAGTGCATATCTGGAAAGTGTATTACTTAATGACACATATTCTAAGTGTAATATCTGTAACTGTGTCAAGTTTTCGAAAACGAAATCGTTTATAATAAAACTCACGTCTGGTACGGAGATCTGATGACTTATATATAATATTTTCAAATTTACAGCACTCGCTATTGCGTAGGGAAATTTTAACATTTCGTGATTAACAAGCCTCAGTTCCTGAAGATTCGGAAGTCCTTTAAATGCGTCGTCTCTAATATCTCCTATCAAACAATTAGTTAATACCAGAGACTCTAGAGATGGAATATAAGGAAATATTTCCACGGTTGGAAAATAATTATAGCTCAAGTCGAGATTGAATAGACTTGTATTTTGCAGGAAAGTTAAGGCTTCATAAGGAAAGCTATTTAAAGAAAGTGCATATCTCACGTACAAGAACTGTATTGATGTGTTGATTAAACTGCTGGTAAGATTAGCCAGTGCAATCTCATTTACGTAGTTTACTGTTAAGTCTAATATCTTTAGATATGGTAAGAAGTCGAATGCATTTTTCTCAATTATTTCTATAGTGGTGTTATATAGACTAAGATACAGCAGCTTTGTGCTCTTCAAAGGTTCAAGATCACTTTTTAATATAAAGTTAATGTTCGTGTTTTCATCCAGAGTTAAATTCTCAAAATGTGTTAAGTTTTCCAAGGCTGATGCAATAAAGCCAATTTGTAATACAAAATTATGCGTTAAATTCAAAGATTTCAGCATAGGAGTAGAGGTAAAAGGACGATCTAAAACTATTATGTTATTTCTACTTAAATCTAAATATTCTAGGGCTTTAAGACCCATGAAAGCTCTTATAATGAACCTGTGACGATTATTGATTAGCTTAAGTGACTTTAAATGCTTTAAATGAGGAAACAAAGGCTTCAGTAAAATCATCTCTTGACAATCAGATATATCTACCGTCACAGTATTAGTCGGTAAAAAAACTGCTATTTGATACATGGAGATATTACTGCAGGAAATACTAAGTTCTTCAGATTGTTGAATGGAACAACTAAAATTTTGTGTTAATACATCATACCAAATTTCAGGTATAGAATGCAGTATAGTTTCTCCACTAAAATGCGTATCCAAGGATTTGCTTCGTTCTTGACGTTCAGTGATTCCTAAGAATTTAGGTTCAAAATATGTGTTTTGAATTTTGCTTTCTACTTTCACTGTGGGTGATGCATTAGATGCTGAAGATTCATATGTTGTCCCCGAGGTGTTAATATCGCTCTGACTGTAATCTGAGTTTTTTAAATTTCTGTTGCTGCTGAAATTCAAGAGGATATCTGAAGAATACCAACTTTTTGTGACAATATTACTTTCTTGGCTGGCTTCAGGTACGTTTTGTTTCTCGTTGAAATAAAAGGACGATACGTTTGAATTAACTACAGAAGTTGAGCTTTTTCCGCTGGTTATTTCAGCAAAAGTCATACCTGTGATCTCTTGATCCATACCAGATTTGCCTTGTCCATTGAAATGTTTAGATTCATTTTTCATGAGTTCAAATTCAGTACGTGAGATATTACCCGAGAGACACATGAGAATGGTATCTGTGGTGATGCATACACTAACGAATGTCAAGAATTTCATCCTGAAAGAAAAGGAAACACTTTAACCGAAGTTTCTCATCCGCGGCTTATTTACACTATACAGCTTGGGCTAGTACGAATAACCTGATCAATATGATCTATAGCTATGATTTTTGTTTTCATAACCAGTTTGCAGCAATATCAGTATAATACACATGGCCTTGTCGTTTCTTTGAAGAACAAGTATCATTGAAAGGTCGAAACAATAGATCTGTTTTAACCACATATTATATAGAAGTTTTTGATATGGAATACATTTAGGGTATAATTTACACATTGCTGAACACTTTGTTTTATAACAGTAATTTTTTTCTTAACTCACTCAAGAACTTGCATATATTTAGAAAATTTTGTCAACTTATTTTGAATTTTATCTCCTTTGACGTGTTAATTACTTTCACTTATTTTACCTAAGCTATATGTAACATTATTAAAATTTTAAGAGAAAACTCCCAAGTTACCATTTATAAGGATAAATTCCTCCCCTCTTAAGGATTTAGTCTTACTTTGATAATTTAATTTGATTCCAAATTTGATTAATTGCTTTTCACAAGTATAAATGCTTCAAGATTTCTCAGTACAATCTCTAACTTTTAGAATTACGATGTAGTTTACTGAAATTGCAACATTTATGATTATTGATACCTGAAAACTTTGGATATAAATGGGATATTTGAAAATTTTAAATATGAATAATATAAATAAGAACATAAATAGATTTTTTTTATATTTTGAAAATAAGCAGGATTGTAAGAGAAACGTATAACAACATATTTATAACCTCAGCATATATGCAAACTAGATGAGTTTATAACGGCAGCAGAAACCTTACAATTTTCACACCTAGTAAGCGTATACATTCCAAATGATAATCTGGCCTTAGGAATATATGCCACAATTTCGTAGGCCCACCTGCGGCCGAGCAGTACAGTCACTGAAGACGAGGTTCGAATCCCGCGAACGAGCTGACTTCCTGAGTGTTTTTGTGGTTTTCCCATGTGTGACGTGTGTACGAGTCAGTTTCCCTTGGAAAGTTCTCCACGAAGGCATCCCTCCATTTGGGCAGATAGGTGTTGCCGTAATTTAATAAACCAAACCAGCCAAATTTTGTAATTTTTTTCAGAGTTTATAAGATATTGGAAAGCATTTGTTACCTAAATAATAAACAGAAGTGTCATACTGCAGATCCAAGAGACTTATTATAGACCTTCCGATATGTAGAAAGAAAAAATTAACATTTTCGCTGTTATAGCTGGAACAATGAGCGTAATGGACTGGAACATAAAACTACATTATAATCAATTCTCTCAAGTACCTTATGATATTTGCCTCATATTAAGTCTCCGGGTAATGTAATTAATTATCAAGAATGAGGGTTTCAGTCACTTGACGGCTGAAATGGAAGAAACAACTGTAAATTCCATAGAATTAATGATTCGGTAACAAAATTCAGTAAATAAAAAAATATGCGTAACAATTGCCAAATGTTTCATGTAGCACTTCGTAACATTTTTAGACCATATAGTATGTAGGTGAAGAATTTGTAAGAACATGCGTTAAAGGTGTGAATTTATTTTTTAATACTTTTTGTCTTTATTTATCTAAATTAGTGACATAATGCTGTGACACGCTGGATCACAAGCACCTCTCATTACGAACAAATCAACTGGAGAAGAAACATCTCGGATGACAAAAAATGTCTCGAATTACGAATACTAAAAATGATTTTCAGAGGCATTTTGAAGTAACCTTTAACTCAGGATTAGCCCTCACGGACACCTATAAGAATCATTTTAATATTTTTCCATTGCTTAACTTTCATTAACAAAGCTTGGTGATAAACTAATTATAGGACCATAAATTCGTCTTGGAGGAAATTACATCAAGGTTGTGCTGTTGACAGATTTTAAGAGCTTTCAGGCTGGCCATTTTTGTTATTTATGATATTGTGACTCCGGGTTGAGCCATGGGATTGGAAGTTAAAGATGAAAACGTGTAGGAGTTACTATAGTCATTATATAGTATTACATAAAAATGAACTCAACAATACATTCAAGCTATTTTAAAAAAAGGAAGGAATTGAACAAATACAGTAGCATCAACAAAACGCTATTGTACAGAAAGGATTTTCAGAGAAAGGCGAGAAAAGAAGATGAACTTTCCAGTTCTTTCCCCTTTTATCTTCGAAATTTTTGCAAAATGCCTTGATGTTATGGTAATTATGCCCCCTTATAAAAAAGTAATGGAAAACAGCATAAACATTTTCAATGAGAATGCTATATTCTCAATTTAAAAGCATTTTGAAACGTAGAAAACAGCAACACGTTAGTTGACAAATTTTGAGCGGTTTGGTTTGGTTTCGTTTATGTGATTACGGCAAAACCTCGACGGCTATCTGCTTAAAGAGAGGAATGCCTTCGTAGAGGACTTCCTAGGGAAAACTGGCACGAATACACGTTACACATGAGGAATACCATGAGAACGCCCCTGCAGCCAGCCCGTTCGTGGAATTCGAACCTCGGACGGAACTACCATTGTTCAGCGACTTCACCGCTTGGCCGCTGGTAGGTCGTAAATTTTGAGCGAAACGGTAGCTTAGTCAGTCTCAAACAGAATCGAGTGGTGCTCACAAGCAAAGAAAAGGCAAATGAAGGTGTCTCAAAAAACAGGTTCCTTGTCACTTTCTACTTATGCCATACAGTAATTTTCGTACCTGGTAGGATAAAATTAAATTAATGTTTTTTTTTCTATTTAATGTGTTTAATAGACACATTTCTGTGTTTAAAATTTAGTTTTGTGCAATGTTTTATTCAGGAACTGATTAATCCATTTCATATGCCACATATCCATTTCATAACTTCTGTGCGGAGGTAATAGTTTTGATTTGAAAACATATCGGATAACGAACGGCCTTCAGGAATAAATTAAATTCGTGAGTCAAGGCCTAACAGATATGGTCATATCTGTTAGACTAGATAAAATATATGGTCTGAATCTTCTTCATGACTAAAATATATTGCCTCAAAATTTACCAGAAAACGGAAAAAGGACAGTTTCAAAATGATTTTAAATATGTCTGTAATAAAACATGTAGTTTAATTTTAAAATTGTATTATTGAATTTCGGACAGCAAGGGTGATCAAAAAGCCTAAGTAAGCACAACCCAAACAAATTTCTCTGTCAATGAGTACTGCGGGCATTTATTGATTTATTTTAAGTAGTGTGGGTATTTATTTAATTTACTTAACAGTTATTTATGTTTAAGCAGCTTTCCTATCGTTCTTGCTTTCAACTCACCCGACACGAATTTTCCAATGCACTTATACCATGCAGAAGACTGGCCTCTAAGAGCGGACGTTGCGGTGGTGACTTTTTTAACCTCTGGCACTAGATGCAATAGAAAATGGGAATTTAACTGTTCAATAAAATTCAAAATTGATGTTTTTGCCATCAAAAGTGAC